CCTGGGAAGAAGCCATGATGACGAATGGTTTGCCAGGTAGGATTAGAGGGTGGTAGATGTGCCTTGTTACTGCCTGTCCATCACTCTGGTCATGACCTTCCCCTCCCCAAACTGTGCCCTGCTCATTTTCTACCAGAGGGTCAGCTCTCCAAGGGAAGGAGACAAATCTCCAACATGCTGGTCCTAACACAAGAGATGGAGGCACATCTGCTAAACGCATGTCTGCTACAGAAATTACCTTAATGAGCATAGCAGCGGGGCATGGAGGCCATGGATAGTATTATCACTGGGAACCCAGAATTCTTCACTGGCTAACACCACATCCTACAGTCTCCACGTTATTCTCTTGGGTTCTCATTCTGAGCTGGAACAGGTGGTGCACTGTGAATCATCAGCACTGGGTACTGATGTGGTCACTGCCTGTTCTCCCACAACCACTCAGAAGATGTCATCAGACCAGGCAGTGGGGGTAGGGAGCTCTCATATAAAGCCCTCTATGATGAAATGCCTTAAAAACAGACAGAAACACAAGATCTCACAGCCCACTCCACCTTCTTCTGCCCCTGGGGACTAAAAGAAAACAAGGACGAAGCTCCACAAGTCCTTCTAAGAAGATGCATTTGCTCCTGCTCCTGTTGGCCTTCTTTCTGCCTCCCAAGGCACAGGCAGGTGAGTGACCATTCCCTCCCTCAGAGGTCCAACCCTAACCCACAGGGGGGCACAGAACTCCTATATCCCTTCTGCACAACCCCTGATACAGTCTTCTACCCAGAGCCTTCTGAATCCCAGTTCCAACCCCACTGCAGAACCCCAAGAGAGACACTGGGTAAGCTAGCAACAGGAACATAAGGGGCAGAAGTCTTTTTGAAAGAAGAGCCAGTGGATTCAGTCCCCTGCCTAGATACCATTCTGGTCATCTGGAAAGTGGGGCTTGGCTACAAGTGCACCCCAGAGGGTGGAAGGGAGGAAATGTTCAATTCTCCTGGAAAGGGGCAAAGTGGGTCTGGCACCTGTGTCTGGGGTGAGACAGGTGCACCCCTTCCAATTGCTTAGCAGAGAACTCTAGAGCCCAGGAGACCCCAGAAATGCTGGAATCAAAGTCCCCAGAAAATTTCCTTTTCTCAGTCCCAAGCCACTCCATCCCTTTCTCCAACTCTGTTTCTCTTCCCAGACCTCTGGTGACTCCCCTGTTTTCTAGTAGGAGCCACTGTGGCAGACACTAACTTCTCTGCTTTCCAGAACCCCAGCAGCACTGCCCTACCAACCCTCACCCAGAGACAAACTGGATCCATTCCTTTGTGTATCCCATCAAATACATGTCAGGCCTAGGAAATAGGACAGAACAACATCTAGAGTGAACTGAAATCCTGGCCATTAGCAAGCAGCCAGTGCCTAGGCAGCACAGCACTCAGGAGGGCCTCAGAAATTTCCAGAAACAGAAGGCTCCTCTGGGATTTCATTGTCCCTAAAAATGTATGCTCAACTCCACCTATGTCAGGAGGAAGAATTTGTAGACCAACACCTGCTTTCTTTACCTTTTCCAGAAAAGTAAGGTGAGGCCCCATCCCTCAGCCCCTGCCCAGACTCAGGTCATCCAAGGTTCCCAAATGCCCCACAGTTCTGGAGGCATGAAACAGATGCCCATCTGCTGGATTCAGGGGGTGCACACAAGTGAGGTGACTTTTTCTTCAGGGGAGATCATCGGGGGACATGAATCCAAGCCCCACTCCCGCCCCTACATGGCCTATCTTGAGTTTGTTGCTCAGGGTGAATCGAAGATGTGTGGTGGCTTCCTGATAAGAGAAGACTTTGTGCTGACGGCCGCTCACTGCTTAGGGAGGTGAGTAGCAGGAAACAACCCAGACCCTCCTGGAGACATTCCAGAGATATCCCTGACTCCTTCTCAATGTTAGCACAAAAGGACTGGGCTAGACACAAACTTCACAGATCAGCAAAAGCCTATATTCAGGAACAGAGTCACACCTCTGATGGACTCACTTTCCTGGTAGAAAATGAGCTACTGGCCAAAGTGAGAGCTTATGCTTACATAGGTTACCCTGAGAGGTGATTTTAATTAATAAGCGAATCAGTTTGGGCACTCAGGAATTTGAGATCTGTTATCACGTGGGCCAAGGGGAGGGTTCTGGGTCAGTGGTCAGTATTTAGGATTTATATTTATTGGGCCAGATGGAGGGACTGGGCTAGGATTTGTTTTGAGAAGGATCAATGTTTTACCCTCTTTCCAGAACCTGCCATTCCATGCTTGATAAATATCTCCTCCCTGAGAAAGAATGTACTGGGAAGGGATCAATATATTGCCTTCATCCTCATTCTCATTTCTCAGGCCATACAATTTTGCAGTTTGTTGTTTTCCATATTCAGTACTCAGTACACACACAGATCCCTGGGAGAATATGTACACGAGATAACTTCAGGGATGGAAAAGAGGATGGGAAAAGTCTTACAAGGGGTAGGCAGGCCGACTCCAGAGGCACTACTGAATAAGAAAGACCTGTGTGGCCAACCCTGCCAAAGAAAGAGCTAGGAGCATGCTTTGCCATGAAGTGGAAACTAAAAAAATTGCATGTGTTTTCCTGGGCATGATTGAATCCTGAGAACTTATGATTCAGATATCAATGGCCTCAGAATTCTAACTACCTCAATGCTAAGAAGCAGAGGGCACTGTCACTCAGCCCAAGGCCTCCTGTCCTCTCTGCTCCTCCTCAGCTACAGCTCTACCCTGGCCCTGCTGTAGCCTGCTCTTCACAGCTCCTAGATGTATTCTTTATGACTCCACATCACCCATGACCCCTGCACTCTCTATGCAGGCCAATGTGCGTCACCCTGGGGGCACACAACATTGAAAACAAGGAGGAGAACCATCAGGTCATCCCAGTGAAAAGAACCATCCCCCATCCATATTATGACAATCAATCCTTCCACAATGACATCATGTTATTGCAGGTATGTCCCCCTCCCAGCTGCCTCTGCCCTCCCTAGTACAGATGGTACCTTCCCACCATGACCCTGCCCCTTTACTCACTTCCATCCTGGCCATCATGGTGTCTAGGCCCAGAGGCCCTTGTCTGAACTGGACTCTTTTTCTTCTCCCCCCATAGCTAGAGAAAAAAGCCAAGTTGAATGCAACTGTGCAGCCTATCAAGCTGCCCAGGGACAAGGACAAGGTGAAGCCTGGGAAGGTGTGCCTTGTGGCTGGCTGGGGGAGAATGGCCACAAATGGCAACTACCCCAACACACTGCAGGAGGTGGAACTGACATTGCAGGAGGACCAGGTGTGCAAGAAACTCTTCAGAAATTACAATAGTAACATAGAGATATGTGCGGGGGATCCAAAGAAGAAAAATGCTTTTTTTCAGGTGAGACTGAGTGTCTGTCTCTCTTGGCTCTGAGGAGAGAGATATTTAGGGGAAGATCTGGGGCCTGGAGACCAGGCAGGATGAGCCTCCCTCACCCAGTTGGCTGTCATTTCTCCCTGGAAAGAGAAGAAGGGTGCAGCTGGGAGTACCTAGGGCCTGCATTGAATGAAGCCTGCCTGGAAAGCTGAGCTTTCAATGCTCCACACTGCCTCAGCTCACAGGCATTTGAGACCTGTGCACCTATGTGTGCAGTTGCTCTCACTAAGTGGCTTATCAGTGCTGGCACCCACCCTGGTCCCTGGGCTCATCCTCCATGCTGGTGTCTGTGCCACTCACCTGCTTCCACAACATTGAACACCACTGTTGCAGTGGTCCCTCACACTTTCAAAGTGAGACGATCTCAGAACCTGGGGAGCAGGATAGAGGCTGAACCCAGGAGGGAGGTGAAGTAATAACAATGTCCACAGTTAGAACATATCAGCTGAGGGCCCTTAGAGTCCTGAATAGTCCTCTGAACACAGACTCTACAGGTCGTCCTTGTCTGAGAGGGAGCCTGAGATGGCAAGGAGGATCCAACCAGGAGGATACAGGCTCAGTCCTCCCTCTTCTCTCTTCACAGGGGGACTCCGGAGGCCCTCTTGTGTGTAACCATGTGGCCCAAGGAATTGTCTCTTATACAAATAATAATGGGACACCTCCAGGCGTCTACACCAAAGTCTCCAGATTCCTACAGTGGATAAAGGAAACCATGGAAAGCCACCTACTGCAGGAGACAGACTAACTCTGTAACTAACCTCCTTTCCCAGAACTGAGTCTAGAATCACCCTGGAGGAGGTGCCCACAACTGAATAAATGTCCCTTAGCAATGTGGGAAGGCTGGTCTCTTCTTTATTCACTGGCCTTCATTCACAGGGT